TAAACATGAAGCAATAAGGACCTTCTGAGCATAAGCCGCAAAACACCAGCAGACACTCATCGCATAATCGGGGATCCGGGAAAATAGGAGGGAAAGAAAACCGGTTAAGGGGAAAATCAGCGGTGGGAAACTTAGTACGAGGAAAATCAGCGGGAGGAAGGAAAACATCAACTAAGCTCATTTGTGGCCGCCATTTGCGGAAAGTGCCTGTCCAGAGAGGTAGCCGCCGGAATCCTTGTCCAACGAAGCGCGACATCCTTTTCACCTGATTCGGCGACTTCGCCTTTCGATGGGCGAAAAAGTTCCACACATTTCCCCAAACTGTCCTCATTTGTGGTTAATTTTGTGCCACAGCCTCCGCGCTTATCCTTTGGCAACTGTCACAACTTGGCCGAAACACTATCGAGCTGCAGTTTCAAGTTTCAAGGAGCAGCTAAGTATGCACTGTGGTTTAAATAGTAATATTTATAAGCAAAGTCGAGGTTAACAATTAAATAAGGTGCAATTCTTAGAGCTGTGACGATTTACTATTTGAATTAATTATTATTTTTTGTTTAAAACTTAGTATCAATAGCTTTATTTTAAAATGGTTTTCTCTGTGCTAAAGTCACTCGACAAGTGTCTAGATTCCCCTTAAAGGGAATAGAGAAGACATTGCAGCAGTGTCCTTGGGCTTCGTTTTATTCGCCTAATTTCCGTCGCTTTTCCCCACCGCTGTTCCCGAGCCCTAATTGGGGCTCACCGAAAAATCTATAAACAGTCCTGGCAGTTCCGCAGTCCTTATCGCGTTGTCCTTGTACTTGGTCCGAGCGAGTCGACGAGTCTCTGTCCCGTTTAATGTGCGTCCTTAAGCACAATAAATCTGTTTATCTCCGGCAATGTCCTGCTCCTCCCCCGGCTCCTAGTTCTCTCAGGCTAGGGATCCGGGAGTCCTTGTTGGACTCTGCTCAAAAAGTTAACCTGGCCGGCGATAAAAAGTTTCCCCTCTCTCAGTCGTTTGTGGTCGCCTCCTCGGTGCGTTGGCAGGCAAAATTTGTTAGCTATTTGTGCGGCATTATCCTTGTAGCAAGGAGTGGCAGATGGAGGAAAGGCAAAGGTACGACGAGAAGCCAGAAGAGACACACTAAAGAGTGAAGCCTCCACATGGTAGCATCAATCATCGGCGGGGAAATTAAATTGCACTTCGACTTACCTCAGACTGAGGCGCACGGAAAACGACAGAAGTGAATACATAGAGTTTTTGGGTGGCAAATAGTGGTATCCTTTTTTAGGATACCCTAAAATATAACATGTTTATATGAAAATATACAACAATATGGAGGTTTTTATTAAACTACGAAGAAATAATATTCGGGAAAGGATTCGGAATGATTAAGCGTTTACAATTGGGCGAATCAATACTGAAAATGTATTCAAGGATATGTTTTCATGTTTAATAGATATTATAAACTTGGTATTTATCAATTCATTTATATTAAAGAACCAATATGCCGTATTGGTCTTAAAAAAGAAAGCTTAAATATTGTGCATATGCATGATATCCCGTTATTCCATAGGACCCTTTGAATTTTAGGGTACATTAACTGAAGCAATAGGAATGAGAGGACCCAACAAAGGGTATAGTTAGAGTTGGGTCCAAAACGATCCAAAACCATATCCGTAACGGTTACGTTGCCCCTTTCATTTCCCGCAAAGTCAGAGAAATACCTTGGCCAATGGCCATTTTCCATGGTTTTTACCTGCTGACGGAGCCGCATCCGCCGCCTGTTGCCAAAAACTGAACTTTGGTGGGCTTTAAGACTGTGCATTGTGTGTTCCTAAATTTTCAAACCAATCCCCTCTGCCCTGTTCCGCCCCCTTCCGCTGCAGCACTGCGGTCATTTCCGAGGCTGGGCAACATTCTCCGCCACCTGCGCCATCAATTGCAACCGCAAAATGGCAAAACAATCAACAAGCAACAACGCGCGACGGGTGTTTTGCCTATACAAGGTTTTGAGTGCCTCAACCCCGTACCCCCTGTATCCACGCCCTCTCCGAAAATCCCCTTGGCGCACGCCTCTGCCAAAACCGCAACGTGTTGCGAGCAGGGTAAGCGAAATTGTTAGGCCAAAACGGCAAGACAAAGGAGCCGACTGTGCGGCCAAGGGCGGGGAGTCTACACTCGCAAATATAATGCTAATGGAAAATTAAATTAAATTAATTTTATGAAATCTTTGGAGAGGCTTAGACTTGTATGCCTTTTCCCGAATTTGAAATCGATCATGAAAAGATAGATTTTAGAAAGTTCGTTCAAAGTCTTTTATTCCAAGTGCAGCTCAGTTTTTAATAGAGCAAGGAGCGAGAAGTGATATAGACGGGCGGGCAATTTCTTAGACGGCTGCCAATCGAAATTGAATCGTTAGTCATGTGAAATATTAGTGACCGACCACCTCCTACGGAGCATTGACTCTGCTTAAATATTGAAATACATCCCACTAGACAGGCAAATTTTGAATTTTTAAATATATTAATAAATTCTATAAAACAACCAATAGTTTTCGGAAAAAATGTCTAAGATAAATAAATACCAGAGGGATTTAACCAAAACAAAAAAAGGAAACCATGATTATACTTTTCTCTCCTGAAAAATGTACACAATTACTGCACTTTTAACATTAAAACTCATTACGAATGTTGTGAAAACTTTAATAATTCCTATCCTAAAATCAAAAATATCTAGTCTAGTGTTAGAAATAGCCTCATTACCCAGGCACTTCTAGCTACCGAAAAGCTCAGAAACTATTTGTACACCGGCCCAATCTAAGCAAATCGTTTTGTCGAGCTTAATTTGCAGTTTCCAACTTAAACAGCCTTGGCCCCTGCCCCTGCCCATGTCCCTGTCCCTGTCCCCAGGGCCATCATCTCAGTTGGCTAATCCCAACTGACTTGGCTGGAAAAGTTTCAGTTGGTTCACTCGGCGGAAGGCGCCAAGGAAATTTGGTGAAAGGGAGTTTGTTGCTGGCTCGGGGATTCACACCCGCGCTGGCGACGGTGGAGAAGGAGGAGGGGGTGGTGGAGGAAAGGAAGCCATGCCAAGTGTTTGGTTGTTCTCGGCATTGTGTTTTGGCCATTTGAGAATTTTCCGGAGCGCAATTGACAATAGTTTTGCACGAAAAGTTGCACAGAGAGGGCCAGTTGCACTTGACTGCGGCGAATGAATAAACACGAAGGATTGGCCGGAAAAGCGCAGAGGGCGGAGGTGGGCTAGTAAGAAGGAAAATCCAAGGCGGAGGCAGCGTCAAGGAAAGCATTGGGTAATTGTAATTCCTGCTCTTAAATGTCAGTTAACCAGTTTGCCTTGTTGGGCAATTACTCCGCCGACCGAACCCCTTTTTCTCTCCTTGGAAACTCCCGAAAACTTTCATAATGAGTGAACACATTCAATTCCCATTTATATATTTTCGACAGCCAAAGGACTTTCTAAAAAGGCTATTTTAGCCCCCAATTGATTTATACAAATTTAATCAGTAGTGCTGCTGGCTACACAAGGAGAAAGACACTCTACTTTTATTACTTTTTTAGAGATTTTTCTTTTTAATAAATTTCTTTAAGTTTGAATACAAACTGTTGGAGTTAGTCTAATTATACTATTACATCGTTATTGTATTTAAGTCAATTCTGACCCTATAAATTATATCTTTTCTTGATCAACATCAAACGCCCAATTAAATCTATCTCGATCAGATTCCCGGTTCGATTCAATAATTAATTTAAAAGCTGCAAGTGTATATAAACTTCTGTTCACTAAGTTTGTTTCCATTTTTGTTTTCAATTTAATAGAAATATATTTATCATTTTTAGTAGCTTCGTTTTTGCTAGACGCTTTATTGAAGCTATATTTTAATATATTCATTGTGCAAACTTACCCTTCAAGTGGCGCTAACAAATAAATGGACCAAAAAAGCGCTGCTGCCTTTATGATGAACGCCAGCTACAAAGGGAGGTCCACGTTGTGGGTAAAAAAGGGGGCAGCAAAGGTAAAAAGTGGGCGTGGATTTTGAGCTAGGTTAGTTACGCTCGCAATGGCAGCTGTTGCCGCGGGAAAACTTCGGAGCATCAAGTGAAAACAAGTGGACGACAGGCAGCTGATGTTGACACCGTTTCGTTTTTTTTTTTTTTTTTTGTTCGGAGGGGGAGTTTGAATTTTGGCTGGAATTTTTGACTGCGACAATGGGGTTGCTAGGGGAAAAGGGTGGACAGTTTTAGTGCCGAGACCTGTACAGGTAAATTGCATACAGTCGCCTCTACTAAGGGCAATCAAACTACCGACGAAAGGCAACATCTGCGATGTTTGGTATCCGTAAAGTGATTTCCACTAAAAACAAAAAAAACGGGAATATGAAAAGGTAGTAAGTGAGTCGCTTGTCATGAATATATGAGGTGCAGAAAGGTATGAAGGTTGGTATACTCTGTATAGTTTTCATGCGCTTCAGCTTCAGAGTTTACGAAAATTGCAGATAAACTCAAATAAATGGTTTTAAACTCTAGCATTTATTGTGTTCAAGGGTATACTAGGCATATTGAAACTTTGGATATGCTTTATTATTTATATCAGAATTATTCAGCCATCCCATAGACTCCATTTGCTCTATTTGTCAAAATTTATGCCGAAAAAGCCCCACATCTCTATAGTTTTCCTTGTTTTTAGAAACTCGACTTTACAAAATTCGAACACAAAAAGCCCCCCAATATAAGAACATTCGAAATTATTTAGTTTATCGCGTACAGACGGGACGCCATTCTGATTTACGATATTGTTCCGAAAAGCAGCCGCCAAATTTGTGTCTCCTTAAATGCGTATAAAAAAAAACCCATATATCGCATTTAAGAAATGGACAGAAAGCCATCGACTCACCGCCATCACCAACACCACCAGCATTATAGTAGCAACATTGAGCACAAAACGACAGATCAAACGCAGTACTATCCCTTGAGAGCGGATACCCATCTTGCGAATAAAGGACACGCTTGTGGTCCTTTGGAATCGGTCCAATCCTCTCGTATTGCCCAGAACCCCAGGAACCCGGACATGCCTATGCTCAGCAGTATTTTCACAACCGGCAAGCCGTGATTGCCAATGCATCGGGCACGCAACGACGGTACTATCAGCAGCAGCAGCAACAGCTGCAGCAGCAGCAGCAGCAGCAACAGCTGCAGCAGCAGCATCAGGCCTTGCATATCAATGAGAGACTGGCCGAAATCGATCGTCGGAACGCCATCAAGAAGCTCTCGGAGATGCGGATGCAGAAGAACATGCAAACTGTGGATAAGAACATCGAGGCTCTGAAGGAGCTGCACGCCAGCATACCTGCAATCAACAAGATATTTGATGTCCAGTGTCGCATCGGAAGCGGCACATTCAGCACCGTGTTGCTGGGGACTCTGCAGGGCGAACGGTATCTGCTGGAGACGCAGCGCCGGAGGTTTGCCATAAAGCACCATAATCCCACCAGCCACCCGGAGCGAATTCTGCGTGAGTTGGAGTGCATGGTTCGCATCGGGGGCGTGGACAACGTCATTGGCATTAACTGCTGCATCCGAAGCAATGACAATGTGGCCTTTGTCATGCCCTACATGACCCACGATCGGTTCCATGACATCTACAAGGTGTTGAGCGTCCAGGAAGTCCGGGACTACATGAGGAACTTACTGATCGCCCTGCGACACGTTCACAAGTTCAACGTCATCCATCGGGACGTGAAGCCGAGTAATATTCTGTTTAATCGTCGCACCGGCAAGTTTCTTCTATGTGACTTTGGCTTGGCCCAGAGGATCGCCGAAGATGGTTCGGTTATCCAGGCGAATGACTTTGGGGCCTTCTCCTTTCTGAAAGACTTAGATGCGGTGAGAAACATCATGTTGCAGGACGGCAACTCGGCTCAGGCCGAGGCGGAGGATTACATGGCGAATCGGAAGATGAGGGCTCTGGGCGGCGGTGGCGGGGTGGATCATCCGCTAAAGGGACCGCCCAGCTTCCTGAAATTCCGCGAGCCGCTGACCAAGAAGGACCTGGCCAACCAAAAAGCGGATACGCTCAAGTTGCTCAATCGCTTGCGATTCATGAGTCCCCAGACAAATCCCGATAACTATGTAGTGCCCTCGGTGTCGGTGAAGAAGGAGATGCACGCATCGCGCGCCGGCACCCCAGGGTACAGGCCACCCGAGGTCCTGCTGAGACATCCGCATCAAACCACCGCCGTGGATGTGTGGGCCTCGGGGGTCATTATGATATCGATGCTCTCGGCCCTTCATCCGTTCTTCAAGGCTCCCAACGACTGCAGCGCGCTGGCGGAGATCATGAACCTCATCGGCGACATTCCGGTGCGAAAGGTGGCCTTTATGATGGATCGTTTGGTACTGCTGACGCAGAAGCGGAATCCCCTGGACTTGAGGAGGGTCTGCATGCGACTTCGCTACGGTGACTACTTCCTGGCTCCCGAGATGCAGCGGCGGCATCGAAGAGCAGATGGCAGTACCGAGATGTGCCGGGGCTGCGATCAGCCGACCTTCAACTGCCTCTGCCGGAACAGTGCTCACAAGCTGGAGTTGTACGACGGGCTGGACATATTTCCATCAAATGCCTATGACCTGCTCTCCCGCCTGCTGGAGGTCAACCCGGAGAAGCGAATCACCGCCGAGGAGGCGCTGAAGCATCCGTTCTTCAGCGATCAGCAGAGAATTGCCTCGGGCGTCCCTCTGCATCAGCAGCATCAGGTGGTGGCCAGGGAATCGATGCCTGTGATGGCTCCCAGGACCCTCAAGCCCTTCGTATCATATCCCGTGGAGCTTGCCTCTACGACCAATATCTGATTTATTTGTAATTATTATACGCATTCCCCTGGCTTCCGTTCATTTATATTTCACTCAATTTAAAGCGTAAAAAAAGGACACCAAAACCTTTGCCTCTAATTGAATTGAGTAAATAAGAAAAATTACCAGATAGCTCTAAAAAGAAAGGTGCAAATATTTTTAAAAAAAGTACATCGAACAAATAGGGCGAATTTACGTTTTGTTTTGTTGATGTTTAAAATTAATCAAGGCAACAAAAAAGGTTCATTTCATATCTTTCTTTTTCAATTATTTCGTTTTGTTTCAGTTCTTTTGTTACCTATTCTGCTTTTTATTCAGGTTCTTTTAGCAACAAATTCTGAAAATCAAATTGGGCATACTCTTGCAAAGGGTATTCTAGGAAGACATATGTATGTCGATATATCGTATATTTTCACGCGGTAAAATATTCTATGAAAAATACCATTAATTTTCATATGACAATATTCGGATTACATATTATATTTATTTATATTTCATTATTATATGTTTAAACTAAACCTAGGTTTTTTTTTTAATATTAATATTTATTCTTTCCCAGATTCAGAACATTTTTTCTTCCTTCAGTTATTCCCATTAATTTCATTGTTCTTCTATCTTTAGAAACCCTTCTCCACCTTCCATTTTCACTTTTAAAATTATCTTGTGACAACCATGTTTCCATATCTCTTCTCTTTTGTAATATTTTGCCCGACAGCCATTTTGCGAATTGGTTTTTGTGCGAGCCTTTCGCACATAGAAATTCATTTCCCAGCTGCCTTATCAATTTGCATTATTGACGCTTGTAAAAAAATATTATTTTGTTGTCTCGTACACAGAGCCAAAGGTTATAGGAATACTTTTTTATTTTTCTCTTGGTTTCCCGTTGCCCTTTTGCCATTTCTTTTTGCTGCAAAAAATTCATGGCTCACTGCGAATTATGTTGACAATTTCATTCTGTGACCAAGAAAAGAAATCTGATATTTATCTGGGAATATGCGAGTGTGTGAGCTGCTGGGAAGTTGCCAAGAAAGAATGTTCCAACTGTCGACGCGGCAAAATAGTTTATTAAAAAGTTACCCGTTTTTACAAAACTTCTTTTTCTTCCATTTTTTCAATCAAAGTATACCATAGTTCTTTTGTGCCAATCGTAATTTCAACAGTTTTCATTGCCTGCTTTTAGGCCGCGAGCAAAATTGGTCCAAATTATTCGTGTGACCGGGAGTTAACCTTCATTAATTTGACATATAAAAAGGCATATAAAATATTATATTAATTATATACAACTAAAGGGGATTATAATTTTATTCAGATGCTTGCGACGCAGTGATGGAGTAATTTCCGACCCTAAAAACTCTATATATTCCTGATTAGGGTGAACAGGCAAATCTTTCTTGGAATAAAGGAAAAAAAATAATTTTTTGTCAATTTTTCCACCTTTTTTTAGGAGCTGATAACATTTTAAACAATTTTTAGAAATTTTTATGTTTTAAGCTGAGTATGCAGATTAATTAACCTGTTAAAAACTAGCACATCACTGACTACCGTATCGAAATTAATGCTTTTTTGGTTTGTAGAATAAATTGTCATATAAATACATGATAAAGAATGAGAATATTTATACCCAGCAGGGTATTATAATTTCAGTCTGAAGCGTCCCACTCAGTGAAGGAGTCATTTTCCACCCTATAAATCATATATATTCTTGATCAGGGTGAACAGGCGAATCTTTATATGCATGTAGGAAAGAAATTAATTTTTAGAACATTTTTTCAACATTTATAGGGTCTAATAACATTTAAAGAATTTTTAAAAATGGTAAAAAAAGTGATCATTTTAATTTTTGATTCTGCGTATGCAGATTTATTAACCCGTTAATAACTTTCACAGCACTGACTACCGTGTCGAAATTAGTGCTTTTTTGGCTGAGCTATGAATCTTCAAAGTTTTGGTTTGTAGTATAAGTTGTCGAATAAATATATAATAAAGAATGAGAATATTTATACCCTAGCAGGGTATTATAATTTCAGTCTGAAGCTTGACATGCAGTAAAGGGGAGTCATATCCGAACCTATATATTGTACTTATTTTGGTTTCCCCTTGATTAAATTTGTTTAGAGCTCTAAACCTAATTTGGTTTAGAAAGCCATTTTTACAAAAAAAAAAAATGCTTCAAATAAAGATTCAAATTATCGTTTTAATTTGAATAAAAAAATGTAGAGCTTTGTTAAAGGGAAAACTACACAAAAAGGCGGTCAAGCTACGTTTGTTAACATCTTCCGGACTTCCACTGTCCGTCATTCTGTAGAAAGGACAGAAGGCACAAAGGACTTTTAGGCGCTTCGTTGGGGATGAGAATGGCCACAAAAACTGTGGCACGGCACTTCCACTCACACTTGCACCTTCAAGCTGCCACACGCTTCGCCACACATATTCTCACATAGAAAGACTCCTTTACACTCAGAAAAGTGAAAATGAATTTTGAAAATTTTATTAAAACACACATTTAAACTCAAAACCTTTAAAACAGCTTAATACATCTTAGCAAAGGTTTTTTTTATTTTGGCTTATCATGGATTATTATTATTGTTATGGATTTTTTGTAAGGTGTGGGGCTCACTCCAAGATACACTCCACACACACACAAATACATACTGAGCTCCAGCTCCCCATGGAGCCATAAACATTTTGAGCGCTCGCCTGTCCGCTCGGCCACAAAAGCCGCGTGCGCAACTCACCGGACACAATGCGGCTTATCAACACGGCAAAAACGGAGGAAAGCGGTTCGGAAAATCGTGGAGGTGGTGGTCGTGTTGGTGAAGGAGGACAGTGAGAGGGGAAAAGTAAAGAGACAGCTCTCGTATTGCCCCTCGCATCGCATCCCGTTTAGCGCTTTATGGCACATGATAGATTAGTCTGGCCGCAGGTGTAACCAGTTGCGGCTTTTTCGGTGGCTCTCCTGTTGGCTCCTGTTTGGCTTCTCTTTGTCCGGCTCCGGAAAACTCACTCCTCCTCGCCACAGTGCCTATTCCCCATTCCGCGTGTCCAGCACCATCGGGTTTTCCGCGATAGCGGAGCACGTAATTAAGTAATTAGAGGAGGCAGCAGTTTAAGCTGCCCGGGATGATGGGTGTGCGAGGAGTGCTGCTGCTGCTGTGTGTTTGTGTGTGTGCTGGAATAGCTGTTGGATTTAATAAAACATTTTTGCAGTCAGCTCCTAGGGAGTCATTTCGGTTTGGTGGTATTTTTAGGCATTAACCGGTGGATGCGATTTATAGAGAGAGGTATTTATGGGTTCTGGGAAAATGAGATTGAGTTGAATTTAAAGTTGCAAATTAAGTAGAAAATCAAATTAAAAATAATAAATAATATAATAAATTAAGTAATCCTATGTTGTGTATATGGTATAAATGGTTAGCTTTTCCACACTCTCTGTATTTCTCACCTCCCGCTTCAAAACTTCCGCTGCCTTACGTCTTTGTAGCGCTGTAATGTAGGCAACACTTTAAATGCGAAAAATGGAAAGCAAATTCCGCAGGGTGCAATGTCCTGGAAGCGCGAGCTCCCCGCTTGACTATTGACTGCGTGTGCATGAAGTCCTCCGAACCTCCTGCAGGACCTCCTCCCGCTTCGTCACCATTCATCTGTCTCAGTGGCGCATTTCTGCCGTCAGTTGAATGTTTGTTTGCCCGCCTGTCGCGCTTTGTTTGCTTTCCGCATGCGTTGCACATTCAACCGCCTCCTCGTCCACGTCCTCGTCCTCGTTCTCGTCCTCCGTCTCATTCGTTCTCCCAATGACATCAGGTCTCCCAACTCGACAACCCCAACCGCCTTTTAAAGGTGGCGCCAAATGGAGCCACATCGATGACGATGATGATGACGCCAAAGCTAGAGTCAGAGCCGGAGCCAACAGCTGCTGACATCCTATGCCCGTGTCGGGTCACTAAATGAAGAATGATGGACACAAGGCGGGATAGTGGCGGACCAAAGAGTATCCTCGTCTCCTTCTGCATTCTTGGAATATTTTGTCATCTTCAAATGGGATTTATGCTGCTTGGGTCTCGGGTGTCCGGTGTGTCATTGTCATTGTCATTCAGTGCTGGTGCAGTGCATTCGTGCACCCCGTCCCCAGTTTACCTTCTTCAAACTTTAAAGTTAATTGGAAATAGTTTTACCCGCTTTTTTTTTTAGCAATTTCCCGGGCTTTCCCACCTATGATTTGCTTGTGTTTGGAGTTGTTGCCCCTGACCAATCGTGAAATTTGCCGTACAAAATATGGATTTATGTCAGCAACAATAGCTGGGCGGTGGTACAACAACAATGTCATCGCCTGGCCAACATTGCAGCTATTTTTACAGCCCTTTTTTACACAACAAAAAAAGAATTGATTGTAAATCAATTATGGATGATGAAATTTAGTCAAAGTATTGAAAAATAAAATATCTAATAGTATAGTATAGCAGAAACACTCTGCTGCTTGTCTTTGATAAGATCTTGATGATTCTCTTAATTTATAAATATGAAATTAGATATTGGAGTCTAAGTAAAGTTTATTAATTGAAAGTATTTAATCAGCTTTTTATTTCTAGAAAATATATTCGATAATACATCACACCAATGTGTGTGTGTTCTTGTTCAAAGGGCTCTCGTATTTTCGTTAAGTGCAGCTCCTCTTCATGGTTGTCAGCTGCTAGCTGTTGGCAATGCATCACTGATTATGAAAAGCTGGCTAAAAGCTGGACTCATGATATATTGCCTTTGTTGTTGCCCCTCGCAGCGTTGCATGTTGCTGATGTTGCTGGTGTTGCTGTGCTGCTGTTTTGCGGTATCATTGCCGCTGATGCGACTGCCAGATGTTAACGGCATTCTATTGCCATCATCGCACGTAAGCGACACGACACAATAATGAAGTTTTATGCTTTGCCACCTGCAATACAAACTCATCCCACTATGGGTATGGCCGGGATGGTTGGAAAATGCGGGAAAAGGAGAAGTATACACACACACACACACTAGCACTAGGCGCAATCAAACGGAAAACGCTGGCGA